ATAAATATATATACCTATGGTTTTTATTAAAAACTAGATCATACAATTTTTCTTAATATATACCCTCGTCTCTTCTATTATATAAAATCACAATATTAAAAGTTTATAGTGTTTTAAAATAAATTTATCTACATATATACGTGTGTGTCGAAATATATGATGGCTACTTAATAATGTTGAAGTGACATTACCCCGGCGATGGCAGTGGCAAAGCAGGAACGACAATTGGTTTTGTAGGAGTCACCGCGGCACTGGAATAGGCCGGTAACATAATTGGAATCGCCGCCATAAGTCGCTTGTGTGAAACCATTCATAAATCTAGCGGAATATGTGAAACGGATGAAATTGTTGAGGTTTTCCTCGTAGTCACTTCTTAGCTGATATTTTCCTTCGCTGAAAAGACATTTGTGGTGGAGATATGCATTGGTAAAATTTAAAGACGAAACACTGCGTATAAGGCTAGGAATAGATATAAGTGAGGTGTTTGGATTGAGAAAATGAAGAGTACATTGTTCTAATATATTTTTTTGGATAGATGAAGCTTTTGAGTTTGAGATGTTTTTATAGAAGACTCAGAGGGATGCTAGGCGCTAGCCGATTAGTTTCATTAGTAACTAAATTTTAACTAAAGAATTAAGTCTCAAAACACTATTCATTTGCTTTTATTGTGTTACACAATATTTGATTGATCATTTTTGTTGGTACAAAAATTGCTTTTTGTGTGTGACAGACATGGAAGAGAGGAGTTGAGAATTTTCGGCGAGAGATTGGGGCTGCTGAAAAATTCAAAGTTATACCTCATTTAAAATAGACTCACACGGTACAAAACTTGTAGTGCACCACTAGTTTTGTGCTAGGAACAATATTATGATTTTTGGTTTCGAGAGTTGGTTGTATCAGTCATGGACTACTCTGAAAAAACAGATGACATTCCATGGAAATTAGCTCATTTTCCATGACATCGGGTGGACTGGAAGCTTCGTAACAACTAACACGAAGAAGAATAGCGGATTCAAGTAAAATGAAGACTCGACAACGGAAATATTGGGAGCGTCACTACTGGAGGCATGGGACAAACCATTGCAAAATTTCGGTGGAGCTAGATGGGACGGATGACACGGTTGAGGTTTTTTTTACACCGCCTAGATTCCGATTAGTCGTTTTATGCATTAGGCGTTGGATCACCGCCTATTTAGTCCCTATCGTTTTTTTGAACATTAATTTTATTGCTCACACAAATGATTTATATAATCTCTTTTGTTTGATCATTTTTTTCTTAACTGAAATTTATATTCTCTCTATATTTCTTTACGGTTTATATTCTATCTAGTTTCTATATTATTTTTTTATAATTTTTTTAGACGATTAAAAAATTATTATCCCTCTAATAAGTTTGAACTATTAAAAAAATTTCTCTTTTCATAAATAGTTTTAGATTATTGGAGTTT